ATTCAAGTTATAATGGTAAACCAACATTAATTGTAGTTGAGTAAAATCTAAGCTGGTATCAACGACATCCCAATTTTCCTTCAGTCAACATGATCATGTTGACTGATTTATATATATTTCATAATTAAATGTTAAAGATAAAAGGGATACTTCATGAGACTAACCATTGCCGAAATCCCGCTCTGATCCGCAGTCAAATCGCTCTTCAGGCAAGTCTGTTTTTGAATGCAAAAGTTTAAGTTGTTCCCGAACCTGCCCGAGAGTATTTATCATTTCATTATCAACAATGAGATTACGCAACGTTAAGACCTTTGGTTGGTAATTACTCGGCATACCTGTTGCAGCGAGTATAGATAATTGTTTCCAGCTTTTTACGAGGGAATCGAGCTCGGTGGTATAGACATGTAGAACATAGTCAAAAGATTTCCTGTAAATTTGTTCGAACCTCGTAAATCGCGAACTCTCGGGAATATAATATAGGAACTGTAACATTGATTTGGCTACAATTAATGTTGGTTTCTATACCACTATACATTTAATTTTCCGTCTCAGAGACAAGGATGTTGCAACATATTGAGCGAGTTTCCCTGATCTTGGAGTTGGAGAACAAAGAAGGGACGCTTTCTTGGAGCAAAGAATGGGATAACCGTGAGGCTGTAGATGAATGTGAGAGGGTGAAAATTGAAGAGGTAAAGCAAAAGGTTATCTATAATCTACTGGTAACTCTACATTGATACGACTGAAGTTTTTGTCCTTGCTACTTGACGTTTTTATGTAATTCTGCAATTTTGATTATTAGAACGGAAAGAGGAACAGTGCTCTCCAAAATAGCTACGGAGGAGCAAAAGAAAGTAGACGGTAACGTTTTCCGGCATCGTAACCCAATTTCTTTCCTTCCTTTAATTTTTGTAGAAATTTGTGTTCAAATTTCTATTATGCATATTACTTTTCCTTAGTCGCTGTTTTGTGGTGTTTATAACTAATAGAAGCATGTTTGTGTGTTTGTTAAGTGGCTTAGGGAACGTTAGGTGTGCGTTTTAGTATACCTTTGTATACAGTGTCGTTTTTGTCTTGCATAAAATGCTCTCATGTATACAAATAGCGAGACTGCATGTAATGAATAGACTGCCTAGTGCGTTACTTAATTGGAAAAAACCTTTTGCAAGGGTGTTTGGAAAGGTGCCTGATTATAGTGGAATAAGACCACAAATTCTTTCGAAGTCCAAGGAAATGAAATTTGAAAATGGAACAACCTTCGATGGTTATATTGGTATCCAAAGTACAAACGAGATGGATGATATTCCCTTCATTCTTCCTCTATGTTGTTTACGGAATCTAGTTCTTTTGGGGTTATAGTGGATGATACTGATAATAATGATCCACATAAAAGGGCTGCGTAGCCTAATATCATCATACTTACGTGCATTATTAGCCATTCTTTGAATGTTTAGCTTATGGAAGACTATGAAGAGGCCTTGGAAACTTATCAGGGGGGGTTGAAGCATGTTACTTGCTAGGAATTTGTAGCAAGTAACATGTTTCAACCCCTCTTGATAAGTTTCCAAGGCCTCTTCATAGTCTTCCATAAGCATGTGGACAACACATTTTCAAATATAACCTTTACAGAATTTGGGAGCCAATTTAATGAAATTTACAGCATCATCGAGTCCCTTCAGATATGCTCCAATTTTGGTGTAGCAGGCAGCTCGGTTGCTATAAGCCTGCACATTCAAGTTCAAGAAATCGAATTACGCAAAAAAAAAGGTCGTTTATTTTAAACGTTCATTCCCAGAGTAATTTTCAGGACTCGAGTACATTTGCTTTTTTCGGTTCCTCGTAATTGCTTCTGTGCAGAGCTTGATGGCCTCATCATACCTCTGCTATTCAGAATGCTGATTATCTACATTTCACACCAAGCAACTTATTACCACCTATCACACACATTGAGCAACTAACGATCTACAACGTAATGATTCACAAAATTAAAGGATGGAAAGAAAATTTACGATGCCGGAAAACGTTACTGTCTACTTTCTTTTGCTCCTCCGTAGCCATTTGGGAGCATTGTTCTTTTTGTCATTCTAATAATCAAAATTGCAAACGTCATTACGTCAATAAAGTATAAGCACGTGCACACAGTCTGACGTCAAGTAAACCAGAATATCTAAAATAAAAGAACCGAAATAATTTTCTGTAACACCATTTTCATTCAAGCTAGCTCACAGATGAAATGTTCAGATATACAAAACGAAGAAGACGATCTGAGGTACAAAAGAACCCCTCAGCTAAAACGTGCCCTATCCTCACGAATTGTTAGTTGATGCTCGGAGGTAGACACATCCAACGCTCACAAAAAATGCATTTTAATTGTTTTTTGATCTTTTTAGTTATCCTGTGCAGGTGTGTAGAGCAGATAAACAAGGCCAGCCGTGGAGGGTTTAGCCCAGAGGAGTTGAAAGAGAGACATGTTTGATGATATACTTTCGCTTTGGCTAAGCTATATCTCAGACTTGATAGTTGTTGAAAATATTATTTCAGGATAAGGCAATGCAGAACATCATTACACAGATCAGTAATGAGTCAGGTATTGGAGGTCACAACAAATTTATGGATGTCCTCTTTGCTGTAATAATCGAGCTGGTGTTTATTAAATCCAATCTTGAATTCTGTCAGAGTAGGTGCTAGTTGATGTGCAAGAGAATCCAAAGGCTGCACAGGCACACACATGAAGAATCCTCTGGTCATGAACAAAATACATAAACTCATCAATGCAGGATTTTTTCAAATGAGATACAGTATAGCAAGAAAGATGGGGTTTTTTTTTTTTTTTTCCTATGGGAGTCTTTGTTTTAGCCGTTTCTCAAAATTTTACTGTTGGCTTCTTGCTTTTATGCCCGAATCTCTGAAAGTTGAATCCAAATGTATAAATGAGAATGAGACAAGTATGTAACTCTCTGACATATTTGATTCCAATCCTTGATTCCAATCCTTAGTGTGTGAGCATTTGTGAGAGTTTTGTGTGATGTTATGGGCATTTTAACGAGTACAATCGTAAGTCTAAGTATTATAGTTGTGGCATAACTTCTTCTATTTTCTTTATAGTATAGGTATCAACATATTACTTAATTGAACGTGTTACTTATATACATTGAAACAAATAACTGTTATCACATTATTACGGAAATTATAAATTACATACAATGATCATTACATTAGCCATGCAAATACATTTTTCCTACAAAACTAAGATTGATACTTAGTTTGACAATAAACAACGGTAATTTGCTTTTACTAGGCCAACAAAAGTTTATCTTATCCATCTCCACAAGTTTGCACATCTCCACAAGTTTTCTCATCCTTTCCCTGAATGCACCTCTGGCTGCCAGCTGGAATGCCAGCACACTTGAGTCGACATCGTGATACGACCCATCGACCAAGACTGCACAAACTCCGACAACAGGGAAACCCGCCAGCACACCATTTGACATGCATTCTTCCAATCCTTTCATGACACCTGGAATGTACTCTTTCGTTACAACTCCTCCTTTAATCTCACTTTTGAACTCGTAACCAGTTCCGCCCTCAAGAGGCTCGAACCTGATGCTGACCTCAGCGAATTGACCAGTGCCTCCCGCCGGTTTCCTGTGGACATACTTTACTTGACTTCTGTGAACCGGGAAATGCTCTCCCAGTAGTTGACTTGGGGTGCTCCCACATTCGCCTCCACCTTTTTTTACAAATATTTATATATGCAGTAAAAATTATATATCATAGATTATATATATATATGTGATATTGCGACCATAGAGAATTTTTACGAGTGTGTCAAATAATAATAATGTAAAAGGTTTATCTACAATAACTAGAAATGATGAACAAGATTTAGAGAAGAAACAGACCTTATATTCCCTCTTGAGCCTATCAACAATAATCTCAAGGTGCAACTCTCTTATTCCTTCGATAACTGTTTGATTGGTCTCTTCATCTCTCGAAAAGTGGAAAGACAGGTCTTCTTGAGCTAGCTTAAGCAACCCAACTGCCATCTTATCGATATCGGCCTTAGTCTTTGGCTTGATTGCAACCTTAATCACAGGGTCAATGCCGCCTGAATATCCTCCATACTGTTCGCATGCATTTCAAGGAGTCTCCCAATCCTCTCCTTCTTCCCTTTATTCGCGTTCAACACTTAAGACGAGGCATCAAGCTTCCCCGAGTAAACCCGGACGAACGTAAGAGACCCCACAAAAGGATCACTCATAATCTTGAAAGCCAAACCAGCAAAAGTCTCGTCATCACTCCCTGCCCTCTCGATCACCAACTTGGGATCCTCCGGGTCTGTTCCCTTCATAGGCGGTAAATCAATGGGGGACGACAAGAAATCCACGATGGCATCCAAAACTGGATGAACCCCTTTATTCTTGAAAGCCGATCCGCATAAAACCGGAACAAAGCTAGCCGAGAGCGTGCCTTGCCCGATCAACTTCTTCACCGTACCGTCATCCGACTCGATCCCTTCAAGATAACCCTCCATGGCCGTATCATCCAGCTCGACTACTGTCTCGATCATCTGGGCCCGCCTGAGCAAATCATGCTATGAGTGTTAGCAGAGGGACTTTGATGATTTTCATCAACATCATCAGGTCACATCAACGTCGTCAGGTAAGAAAATGATCGTTGTCTGATTAACTCACAGAACCAAAGAAGTTAAATTCACATTATTCATCCTGTCACCAGCATTCGCAAAGGAAAAATCATACAAAGGCTATATAGTTTAGCTCAATTTACTTGCTCAGTCTGCTGTCTTTGATGATTTTCGTAAAAATAATCATTTGGGTTATACCAAACAGACACAAGTCACACAACCATTACTCCATCATGAGCTAGACAGAAGCAAAATGCAAGCTACAATCAACTCCATTCAAATCCCAGACTTAGCTAAGCCTCCAATCCTAAACCATTTCAATTTGAATGAAAAATCATCTACTAAACAATAAAACAACAAGATTAACCTCGACACCCAGAAAGCGACTCAATTGCCCGAACAAATAAACACAAATTTGCCAACAAGAACAGAACAACATATACAAAAAATGAGAAAAGGGGTGTGATCGAATTATACCAGCAGCAATTGCAAAGGCAGAAAATTTCATTCTTTGTTGTTTGTTTTGCAAAGCTGAGAGCCTCGCAACAGTAGAACAGAGCCTCAGGCTCGCGAGAAAAGAGGAAGAAATAGCTCGAACCCTCTGAGAATAATAACTCAACTTACGGCGTCGTGGAGAGTGAGAGGCCGCGGCCAAAGGTCTTCTCGAAGAGCCACTAAAGTTGCAGACAACGTTGGACGACAAATTCATCATCGATTCAGTCGATACAACCGCCATTTTTCCTAATCTCCACACACACAGTGGCACACACTAGTGTGTGTTTACTGCTCTTGGGCTGGTGAAGGGATTAAAACTGTGGAAAGTCGCGTGAAGGGATAACGAGCAAGGAATTAAAGATTGAGCCTATTATATGTATAAATATATTAATTAACATAAAAAATACATAATAATTATTAAGAAGAGTTATTTCAATATAAAAAAATAAAAAACAAATGTTTAGAATTATTCCTTCAATGGTATGTTATTTTTTTAACTTGTAGAATTTACGTGTATGCTATATTCAACTTCTTTTTTATTTCATTTTTCTTCCTAAAATCATATAAAAACAAATATTGTACATAAATATATATACCACATAAGGATTGGATCAAATGTGTCATTATTCTTAAAATGAGAATGTAAGACTCAACTCTATCTGTTAAATATAAAACAAAGTGTCTGTCAAGATTTATCTTTTTATTTTTAATTGGTTAAATAATGATTTGACCGTTGACCTACGACGTTGATTGTTTACCGTAGTTTGTGCCCCCATTGTCCTTGAAGTCTGCGTCCGTCCCTGACTGCACTATTACGGGTGCCGAGCTTTGGGGACTCTTACAAGGGCTGCTCCTGGCGTGGGATTTGGGATTCTGGTTTGTCATTGCTGAGGTAGATAGCCAATGTGTTACGTAGTTGATCCATGGCCGGTGGATAGGTTAGGGCCCCATGCAGCACTGGTTCGGGACATCCAACGCCTCTACGATCGAGAATGGAACATTAAGATCCAACATGTTCATAGGGAAGCTAATTTTGCGGCGGATCATTTGGCGGGCTTAGCGGCATCTTCATCGGTCGGGCTACACCGGCTTTCATCCCCTCCATCTGGCATAAGGGCATGGATTCAACATGATCTTGCGGGGTCTCTTATCCCCGTCGTGTTCTCGCTTAACTTTCTAAGGCTCTAGCTTTCTTTCATTGTACCAAAAAAAAAAGGTTGGGTTTTTTTTTTGTATGGGGGACAAAAAATTAACAATTTTGTGGACGAAAATAAATTGATTTTTTTTTTTTTTTTGTGATAATAATTTGTTTCATCAATCTTTTTATAATAAACAAAAACAAGCTTATGTGACTCGATTTGTTTCGTTAAGGCCTAAGTTTGAATTTGTTCAAGATTCGTTAGATTTGACAATATTAAATAACATAATTCTGAACTTTTACCATATATTAGCCCGTTAAAGTTCGAACAACGAGCCGAACCTTATTAATTAGCTCAATTCGATAAAGACAAGATAGGTTCGATGCGCACTGACTCAAGTAAGTGCTTGAGTATCAAGAACTCGACTATCAAAAGTTCAATAATAATTGGGTTCATTTTCGACTCTAGCCTCTAACAATTTGTGATCTAATGATTTGTTTATCCTTCACTAATCACGATTGCTTTTATTTTAAGTATTCAATTGAGATTTGTAAGGACTTTTTAAATTTGATGACTTTTGTGGACTTTGTAGAACTTTCACGACTTTGGTGGACTTTTTGAGACTTTCAGAGAATTTTCATTAGTGACTTTTAAGACTTTCATAATGGACTTTTTAAACTTATTGAGACTTTTATGTACTTGCAATTATAATATTATGCTTTGAATAAAATATTAATAAACGTAACATAATAACTAATTTTTACAAGAATAAATGAAAAAAAAAGATGTCGTATATATTAATCCTCTAAAAATTTATGAATAAACTCATTTTTATGCGAAATGAGTTATTCACAAACAAATTATTCAAGATTTTATATTTATTAAATGAGTAAATCGATCCGAGCTTCAACGAGTCGAATCGAGCATGCCTTATATTTGTTTGTTAAAAGAGTACAAGATGAAATATGTGTTAGACATCTCTGCTATAACGAAACTTATAATCAACCCAAATTAAGATATATTTATCTAATTATTGATTGATTTTATTTTGTATATTTTTTGGCATAATATTGTTATATTAGAAAAATATTGTTAGGATATATTTTTAGAAGATACAAACATTGTCGACAAATAGTAATTATATCTTATGAAATTATCAATAATATTCAAAACATTTCAGTATTAACAAATAAACTATTTGAAAATATTTTTTTTAATATTTTGAAATAAACATTTACAAATAAAAAGAAAGAACAAATAAATTATTTGCAAGCGCAACTATGGAAGTATTAACCTTTGAAAAGTCAAATTCAAAAGATAGCAAAATGGGAGAATATATAAAATAAAAAGAATATATATAATAAAAAGATCATATTAATATATGTAATGAAAATAAAAATTACACAAGGTATCAAAATAAATAAGTAACATAATAGAGCATGAAAATGATATGAGATACAAAGTCCTGTTAGAAAGAAAAAAAAAAAAAAAAGAAAGAGAGCTTGAAAAGAGTCACATAAGTCCAACAAAATCTCACCAATATTGATGAGATTTCTGCTGAGACTTTTCCTTTGTAATTTTGTTACAAAAGTCTCTAAAAGTCTCGATAGTTAAAAAGTGTCACAAAGTCTTTCTGTTTTGAATACCGGGTGACTTATAATGACTCTCAGAATGTTTTAATTGAATACCCTGAGACTTTTAGAAACTTATTAAAAGTCATTAAAAGTCTCAATTGAATACATGCAAACTTTTCAGAAGTCTTTAAAAGTTCTAATTGAATACACCAGAATTCTAAAAGTATTAAAAAATCTCTAAAAGTCGAAATTGAATACACCCCTGATTTAATTGTGTTCATTTACACCAAAATCATTGAAACTTTGTAAGAAAAACAGAACATTGTGGTGTTATTATTATCATTATTTTTCAAATCCATGAAAGATTTCATTTGTTTTGCAGTTTTAATGGACATAAGTGAACAGATTTTCGGGGGAGCAACTACCTTAAAGAGTGTGATTCACAGGAAAGCAAGCGAAATCTGGAGGAAACGTCAATATCTTTGTGGGCTTTTTTTTTTTTTTTTGTTTTTGGGAATTGTTTTGTACGATGGTCTGGCCCTCATCAGAGGTCCAAAACTAAATTTGATGAAGGCCCAACAAAAGTACGAGGCCCATATAGCTAGAAAAAAGGGGGAGACTACAATGTTGAGGATTTACATCCTACAATAGCACAAATTACTTGCAGCTGCAGGAACTAATGTAGTTTTCACATTTCACCACGTAACTCCGATTAAATTACAGCGTGACCCCGCCCTCGTTCCATTTTGTTGTTAAATATCAGAGAACTCAAGAATAAAACCGACCGGACAAGCAAACTCGCAGGGCCAGACTCCGGCGGCTCGCCTCCGCTGGTCGACTGAGGAGAAGATCAATTGGTTGCTCGATCTGCCGTACAAGGTATTTCTTTGTCCCCTCGAAGATCCTAATTGGATCCCAACAGACTCCTGCTTGGAGCCCTAAATGGAACCATGTTATTTGGTTTTTCACATCACAATTGATGATTTTGCTGTTAAACTCGCGAACATCGGCATTGTTTTGCTCTTAATTTTTCAGAATGGTTGTTGAGTTTCTTTTCGAGGATATTGCATTTGCAGTTTCTTGTTCAGTAGCCTAGTGAGAATTTCTTTACACTTTGCATGGCCCTAGTCTTTTGCTTGTGATTTCAGGGGACTTGGAGTTGAGGATGCTAAAAACTGGTTGATGGGGATTAAAGTGGATTAATTTCTTTGGTTGTAACTTGTAAAATGACAAAGATATAAAATGAAATGATTGTAGATTTGGATAGGAACAGTACTTCCTAAATCTGTGATATGGATGGCCTTCTATGCACTTCAATAGTGATGTAAGTTTTGAAGATTAAGACATAATGGTGTCCGGTAAACTGGCCTTGTGAGTTTTTTTGATGTGTGAGAAACATGCTAGCCTGGAGCACCATTTTCGAAGTTTTTGTGCTTTGAAATGTGAAAACCTGTATGTTTAAGTTGGTAGTGAAATAGTCTCCTTTTCTGTTTACTGATATTGTAGCAGCCGGCGCATTCATTTATAATAGTAAGGGTAAAGGGCATAATATTGCAATACAAAATTGTGTAGCCGTGGCCTAGCAAATTTTGCATAATTTTATGCTTATTATCTTGGAAAATTCTAATCTTCAGAATCTTAAAATGCAAGTAGATGAAAAAGAGTACTTACAGTGGTCCATCCTTGTGTTCAAGTTGTAATAAATATGTCGTAATGATTTCTTCCCTTTGCCTTTTCCTTTCTTTCTCCCAAATGGACCTGAGGCTTTCTCCCCAACCCATATTGATTGTTTCTTTGCATTGCTTTTAAATAAATCGTTACATGCTCACTGTTTTTTGTAGCTAGTTCTAGCAAACCTCTTTCGGGTGTTTCAGTTGAGGGTGTTGGCAGGTTGTGACCTGTGATTTTGATTAGTAGTTTTTCATTGATGTCTTACATTCAGAAAGCATTCAGATGTGATAAATATTTTTTCCTTATATCATCAGTTGTTATCATACTTAACTGTCTCACACTCCAAATTGGTTAATGAGTATGCATCTTGATTATTTTTCTATTATAAATGTGTGTAAAACCACAGTTGTTTGCATTAACGTGCTCGGGCCTTTTATTCTGTCACAAGAGCTTAAGAATTTGGGTATCAAGTTTAATCCAGAGCCTCGAGCTATGTGGACCGTGGCCAAATCGTAAAATGCCAGCACCACCTGTTTTTATGATCTTAAACACTTCACTACATATGCTATTAGTTCGGGCAGTCTCTTTGTGGTCTTGTCTAGGTAATTTGTTCCACTTGGATTACTGATATTCGTGGAATTTATTTATTTGTTTGTACGTGTGCCTGAGATTTAGTTTATGATGTATATATAGCATTGTTATTATTTATTTTTAGTCTTAGACTATTGAAAATATAAAGGAGATAACTAATCTATGGTCTGTTTATGTGCAAAACCTTGCACATTTGTGCACGAAAGTTGGGATTTTACTGCACAATATTTTTCAGGTAAGGTTATTGCTAGTAATACTTGCTACACCTTGTTTGCATTGACCCAATTATTTCCTACTAATACATTTATTTAATAATTTCCTATATCCTGTTGTGTAATTCCACCTTAAATCACTGTCAATTTGCTCCAGCGCAATTAACATATGATATGCTCCAAACTCCTTTCTCTGAACCTTTTTGATCCTTACATATCTTCCGGTGATGATCAGCTTTTGTACTTCACATTCCAGGGGTTGTGTTTGTTGTATTAAAATGTACTCATTCGTTACACCGAGTAATATTAGCTCAAAGAAAGACTAAAAAATGTGTGCCCAGTACATTATAAATCTATAGAATTTTCAGTTAGATCTACCTCATGGAACTGCTTGGTCTTTAAAACATTATACTTGTTCGTATATCAGGTGAGGTAGAAGTTCCAGAGCATCATGGGTGAATCATTCACGATTCAGATCAGCAGTGACTTAGTTAGGAACCTTGTTGTGGACCATGGTGAGAAGGTAAAAAAGAAAACAAGGAAGCCAAAACCTAAAATCAGCCGAGAGCCACCACAGGTGCCAGCTGGCAATTCATATTCGACCGGCTGGCCCATTCAGCCTCCTCTGTACCTTCCGACTCCACCTCCTCAAAAGCCCTCGAATGCAGAGCTTGATGCAATCTGCTCGGCTCTTGAGGCAAGCGAGAGGGTCGTGGAGAGGTTGAAGAAACAGGAGGAGAACATGCTAAACGAGGTCACTCAAAGGGCGAAAGAACTTCACGACAAGGAGTTTAAGCTCCCCAATCGCAAGCCCATGCCGTGTTTGGATGAGAAAGATGCGTGCCTGAAATGCTACAAGGAAAACATCAATGACCCGTTGAAATGTGCCCAGTTGGTCGAGGGTTTTGCGGAATGTGCGCGCAGGGTTAGGCAGCAAGTTGGTATTACTGAGAATAAGTAGGTGCATTGGTTGCGCTTTTTTATCAGCCACAATAGACTGTTTTCTTTTTTTGGTGAAGATATATTGAATCTCTGGTTTGGCGTATAAATGGGCCTATCGACATGCTATTTACTCCTCGGATAGGATCCAGAGCAATTGAGAACTTGTTCGTGCGTTGCAACAAATGCAAAATTTATTTTGCAGGGGTAGCCATGGTGAAATTCTTTTTGACCGAGTCTTTTGTGTTCTGTTGTTAGAGGGAATTTTTATGATGCTGAATCATATAATATCTAAAAAAGTTTTTGTTTTGTACCCAATATTTGTAAACTAGTAGGAGACGTGCAAACTACCAACAATTTATTCAACAATTCAATTTTACTTGGTAACCAAATAAGCTATAAGCTAACTTATTTGGTTAGCTTATTATTCAAATAAGTTTCCTTTGGTAAAATAGAATTTTTTTTTTTTTTTTTTTTAAGTTCGAAGTTATCTTATAAGCTTCTTTGGGTAGTTTTTCAAACACTTTTATCATATAAGTTAGTTTTTCAGTTAATTTTACCAAACACTTTTACCATATAAGTTAGTTTTTCAGTTATAAGTTGTAAGTTATAAGTTATAAGTTTGAAATTTACAAAAATTAGATATCTAACGCCATTCTGATCACCATCATACTTATTTTATAAAGAAATGAATTAATTAATTTGTTTTCTCAACTATAATTAAGTCATTTTTGTATGTGGATCGAAATTAAGTCATTTTTGTATTCTTTTTTAAGTATTTAATATGTTTTTTAATTTTAATTAGCTCATCAATTTATCTATAGGATAAAAATAATAGCGTTATTTATTCAGAAATAGTGAAAATTATGTTATTATTCATATGTTTTTTTAACAAAAGTTCATGAATGTGACAAATACTTTTTCGTCAATATCACTAATATTATTTTAAGTTAAACTTATTTAATTTGAAAATTGTATGAAAAAAAAAAATAAAAAAATTGATATTTTAGAGTCACAATAAATTCTATGGTGTTATTTTCTAAAGTCACAGACCTCAACTATTCAATGATTATTATTTATGATTATATTGGTGATAATGAATACAATTCATTAATTACTAATATTATCTTTAAGAAAATATTTTAAAACATAATAAATAATATGTTCATAAACATCATTTTTTTTTTTTGGTACAAAGAAGGAGGCCAATGGCCTAGAACTACGAAGCTAGAATTCTACGAGGGTAAGCCACGCCCCGAAAGTCGTGATCAAGCCAAGCGCCCATCCCAGGGGGGGTGTCGAAGTAACATGTAAACCTAACGGCATCAAGTAGCACAACGCGGGTAACGTACTACTAGTTTTAAGGAACAACACATTACATTACATGCGTGCCAAGATAACATGAAAAAGAAAAATAAGCCAAACAAAAAACCAATTACCTCCAAATAATAATAATACGAAAATATGCCAAACAAGAAAACAACTATCCTCCAAATATAATAATGCGAAGAGTTAAAATCACAGGAACATTAGAATCCATAGTTGTAAATAGGAAAGACACAACTCAGAGCCAACAGAAATTAGTCATCATGCAACTTATGATGTTCATGGACTTTAAAATTCGCAGCTTCAAATATGTAATCTATCATAGTAACTTGTGAATCAGAAAGTCGATACACAGCTCAGAGCCAACAAATTAGGCATCGTGCAGCATGTTCATAAACTCATGTTCATAGACTAGATGAACTTGCCAGAGGACCATGGGTTGAAGCCTCTGTTCAAACTTGATATATTTTCCAATGTGACGTAGTACTGCTTTTTTCGAGCACTAACCTCCCACTCAAATTGCGTTATCTTAATCTGAAAAGAGTTTACATTTGAAACATTCAAGTAACATCATTGAATAATGCTAATAAATACAAGAAAAATTAAAACATAAAGGATTGGAAAAAAGAAAATAAAAATAGCACCAAGAGAGATGAGTCTGGAGACGCCACTTGGTAGAATGTGAATATAACTCGATAAACTTCAAATAACTGAATTACTAGGGATAAGTGGTGAGTATTATTTACCACATCAAAAACGTGCTTATGAGGTCTAGTACCGTATACTTTACCCAACGCTTCCCTCAAACCCTGGTAATACGTTAAAAAAGGCAAATGCATGATGCAAACACAAGAGATAATATAAAAGAGGAAAGAAAGCTAACAAGAAAATATTATAACTATTAAGCATGCCACCTTCAAATCACCAGCAAATCTAGTAACATAACAGATTTGAGCCTCTACATCGTCACAACCCTTGGCTTTCCAAGCATCAGCTCATGCATCCCATCTCGCTTGATCATATTCACAAAGTTTCGCATTAACCTATTTATACACATCATCGTACATCCAGTGCACGATTAAAATACTCAAAAGAACTCTGAGATAAATATGAACATTGTTTTAGCGATAAATCTTGTTGAGCGAAAGAAACCATGATTGATGGCAATTAAGGAAGGGAAAAAAAGAAACACCTCACAGCATAACCTTCATTCTTTTCAATCTTTTCAATCCGGTCCTTATATTGGTGAAAGCCAGGATCTTTAACGATATTTTTAACTGCAGCCAACACATCCTCATTCCTAACCTTAGCTCGTTTGGCATATGTTTCTACTAACAGACGGTCGTCAAAGTCCTGATAAACTCAGATCCATCTTCTACAACTTTATGCCCTTTATGTCCACAGTCTCCGTCAAAACACATTAATTTTTCATCAAACCCCAAAGGCAAAGGCAGCTTTTTATAACTCCAATACCCAAGTAAAATGATCAAAAGACCCCTTCACAAGAGAGAAACTATAGTCATTTAAGGCAGACGTAGATGTATAGCAAAACACTGAAATTAACAAATATTAGGAATCCCCTAGAAGAACAATGCACGTTCGTACAAATTCAAAGATGCTTGAAAATGTTAAAATGGACTGAGAAAACACACTTAAGAGTATCACACAAACCACACAACAATGCATAATTAGACGACCTTATCATTGTAGCAGGAGAACTTTTGAGTTGGAGAATATCACTCAAGTTGTGATCTGCCTTGATACGGCACATACGTTCTCCAATTTGTTCATTTTCCACTTCATTCGAAAGTTTGGCTATGATGTCGACAACAACGCAACCCTGTAAGAATGCAACACTTGTCTGTTTCAAGTATTGAATATTGTGCATAGCCCAAGTATTCTAGTGATATTGACGAGAGTTAAAAACCAAAACTAGAGAATAGACCTTGCAAAGCATTTGGTAAATCTGGGAATTGAACACCTCAATTCTCCATATTCTCATAACCAGAGCAAAATGCTCAAATGCAGAGTCATTAAATGTCCCATCCTCGAGAACTGTAGAAGCTTGGAGTGCCTCCAGAAGCTGTTGTGCCATTTGAACCACAAACTCATCTTTGGCCAGTGTATCACACTTATCAGTGATGATTGGATCCTACACAAATTAAAGTCGGGTATTAATGGAAGTCCAGTCCCGTGTGTCACTACAAACAGAGATGAAAGCTAAAACCATCACCACAATGCATTGGAATATTAAATACCAAAACAAAGGCAATAGTGTGTAGAAGAACAAAAAAACTAATTCAATTATAAAAAAATTAATCCCCTTGAAGGTGATTATCATCTATTTCCAATTACGTAACACATAAAACAAAAATATTTAAAATAAGAGATAGAGAGAGAAAAGAAGAGAGATTGGCGTACCGAAAGAAATCTAAAGGCAAGGGAGGCATCGAGCAGCCCTGTAATGGCCGGTCTCTTGGCATTTTCCTTATGAGCAGCCTGTGGGCTCACTTTTCTCTTATCTTCAAATCCAAAGCTATCAGACATCTCCTCGTCCTACACGAATTATGGTTTATCGTCAAGGTTTTAAAAAACCCTACATTTGGATTGAGAGATTTGAAAACATGATGATGATAGAAGTTGAAGGATTTCAAACTAAGATTTTAATCGATTTTAAATCCCTCAATCCAAACGTAGCCTTCACGTCAAACACAAATTCATCATCTAACCCGAGTCATTGACCGGAGGGCGGTTGAGTAGCCAAACATATTGTTGAGAGGTATCTAAATGATTTGATGACAAACAGATAACCCAACAAATACTAGAATTCATAAAAAAAATCCTAACAATATGAAAATTTGGGGTTTGAATGTAAAGTTGTGAGAATCCGAGAAAGTTATTGTAAACAAAACGAGCTTAATAATGAAAGACACAAACAAAAACACACACATACATTTAAAAAGGAAACAAATGGTTGAATGAAAAGGCATCATTGGCCCTATTTTAAGTGCCTGGGTAAAGAAGTGAGGATTTATAAAAAAGCTCTCTAAGAGTCTGCTGCTGCTGCAAATCTTCTTGCAATTTTGGACTAGCAAACAGTATATATATTTTATATGAGATTAAATATTGTTAGCGTATACTGTAGAAGCTCGCGCGGCTTGTGTTACGAACCATTTCATTTTATATGAGATTCATGTTTTACAGTTTTAGTCAAATATATGTTTGTAGTTTATTTCTTAATTTATGCGAACATGCATGGTCTATTATTTATGACATGAATGCATTACTCAAAATATGCACACTTATTCTTGTAGCTAGTGAAATGTTATAACATTTGAGGTGTATTAAAAACTCAATATAATAATTTTTCTTTACCATAATTGATAGACACAACATTTTTCACTCTCACAACAGCTTCTCGACAGTCTAAATACTATACTAAGCTAATGTAATTTCTCACCACACCACTACACCGCCGTCCTATAACTCAAAATAATACAACTCACATCTTTGTTAACCGTCCTAAATGTTCTGACCAAAAAAATAAAAAATAAAAAATTTCAACTCCCTTTATAAATCACTAGCAACTTCACTCTCATCCTCCCAAAAAAATGACCAACTCTTTTTCCTCACCATTTTCCTCACCATCCCTTCCCTTCTCCTCCTCCTCCTCAACAACCTCACCAAAACCTCTCCTCCTCTCCCCCCGGGCCCCCGCGGCCTCCCGATCCTCGGCTTCCTCCCCTTCCTCCGCCCCGACAACATGCACCTCCACCTCGCCCAACTCTCCCGGGCCCACGACCCATATTCACCTTCCGCCTCGGCTCCAAGCTCTACGTCGTCATCACCTCCCCGGACCTCCTCGCGCGGGCCGTCTGCCACCACGACGCCCTCCTCGCCAACCACCAAGTCACCGCCGTGGCCCTGGCGGCCTTCGACGGGCTCGACATCATGATGGCCCCTTACGGGCCCCACTGGCGGGCCCTCTGCAAGGTCTTCGTCCGCGAGATGATGAGCCACGCCAGCCATGGAAAGAGAGACAAAATTAGCTTCTTCGATATCTCCACTTACCGACTTTGAGCTTTTTGCCGAACCTGCTCCTTCTTTCGGACAATTTCTTTTCACGTGCCCAGATTGTCCACACGTCTAGCAAATCACAACTTGCTTCTTCCTGGAGTTTCTATTCTTTCCGTCACCGACGAGCATGACTTGACCTTCCGGTGAATTGTTTCGTCCACCATCTAGCCTTCTCTCTTCCGCAAGAAGTTTACCACTGACTTCAGAATATACAATTTTCTCCTTCCCATGAATCAAGATCGGCTTCATGTATTCATAAGAAGTTGGAAGAGGCCAGATGAGTCTCCACGCCTGATCCTCATCATCAATCTTCACTCCAATGGATTCCAGCTCCGAGACGATCCCATTGAGAATGCTTAAGTGGTTTGAGATGCTTTGACCTTCAGTCATTCGCAGTGTGTGAAACTGCTCCTTTAGATACACCCGATTTGAGACGCCTTTAGCCTGATACAACTCCTCAAGCTTGTCCCATAATGCTTTTGCCGTCGAAATTCCATGCACATTAGCAAGAACATTCTTGGCCAGACGCAGTCGTATCGCGCTTGCCGCTCTCAAATCCAGATCCTCCCAATCTTCATCGCTCATTCCAAATTTGCTCACACCAGCTTTTTCTTCAGTGCTGCTGGTAGCACTGCCTTTGGAAATTTCCGAACCCTTCAAAGCTTTGTGTAACCCCGACTGAATCAGCACGTCCTTCACTTGCACTTGCCACAAGCCAAAGTTTATTTTTCCGTCAAATTTCTCCACATCAAATCTCGCCAGATTCGATATCTTATTTCCAGACATCTTCGTAAATTAGTGAACACAAACTTCGCAGAAAACCGAGCAGCAACCTTGAATAGTACTGATCAGATAAATTCTCAGGGAGGGTAGGGACCTGCCCCCTAAAGAATTGCACTTCTAAGTAAGCTCCCAGGAAAGGCTGGTGGGGTCACAACGGTCCCACTTAAAAAACCAGTCTCCTAGACAGAACCTACTTACACAGTAATTATTCCCCACTTCCCAAAAAACTCCTCTGCACACAAGCTCCACCCGTCACTGGCTCCACCGCATGAACATACCTCTTTAGTATCTTTTCTGATGTGGAAGATCAGACAAAACTGCAACCACAGAGCATACTCAGAATACCAACTAGGCTAACCTCGCTCTTGATACCACTTGTTGGGAGTTCCGACCACATCGAAACTCCGCCCAAGATCTACTGAAAATAATAAAACTGGAGAACACAAAGTTTAACGTGGAAAACCCTCTGTTAACAAAGAGGGAAAAACCACCAGGGCAACAAGGCCGTAGAAAAATCTACTATGTAAAAAAAATTACAATGACACAATTTTTCTACACTCACTTATACCTAAATTACCCCACAGAATTTTCTATCCGTTAACCTTAACTCTCACCTTAAGAAATTTTTAACCAGAGATTAATTGTTAACACAATAACTCTGTGGGATGATTTAACATAAGAAGTAGCACCTTCTTATATAGGGAAAAACTCCCCNNCCCCCCCCCCTCTCATCCCATACCGATGTGGGACAAAAGAGCAAAAAACCCAACAAACTCCACCTTGCGATTTTGGCCCATCTGACAGCCACTATTCACTTTGATGAAATTTTTCATAGCTTTTGCTATCATGCTCCACCATAAAAGCATATCCACTCGGACTCGCATCCAAGCATTTCTTTGGCCCATGTCGAAATAACCTTGCTGAAATCTATGGTGCAACTTCTACATTTGGCTTTCCTAGAAGTTCATCAACCCTCAACACGTTTTTTCCACCACACACCTTGCATCACCGCCAAACCAATGCCCGTGTGTAAACTGTGGACCTGCTAATTGTAACACGTCCTCTTTCATGACACTTAGCAACATGCCATAAGGACTCCCCTTTCTCTCTTAGCAAAACTCATCCATGGAGAGAGAGACAAAATTAGCTTCTTCGGTATCTCCACTTACCGACTTTGAGCTTTTTGCCGAACCTGCTCCTCCTTTCGGACAATTTCTTTTCACGTGCCCAGATTGTCCACACGTCCAGGAAATCACAACTTGCTTCTTCCTGGAGTTCCTCTTCTTTCCGTCACCGACGAGCATGACTTGACCTTCCGGTGAATTGTTTCGTCCACCATCTAGCCTTCTCTCTTCCGCAAGAAGTTTACCAGTGACTTCAAAAAATACAATTTTCTCATTCCCATGAATCAAGATCGGCTTCATGTATTCATAAAAAGTTGGAAGAGACCAGATGAGTCTCAACGCCTGATCCTCATCATCAATCTTCACTCCAATGGATTCCAGCTCCGAGACGATCCCATTGAGAACGCTTAAGTAGTCTGAGATGCTTTGACCTTCAGTCATTCACAGTGTGTCAAACTGCTCCTTCAGATACACCCGATTTGAGACGCCTTTAGCCTGATACAACTCCTCAAGATTGTCCCATAATGCTTTTGCCGTCGAAATTCCATGCACATTAGCAAGAACATTCTTGGCCAGACAGTCGTATCGCGCTTGCCGCTCTCAAATCCAGTTCCTCCCAATCTTCATCGTTCATTCCAAATTTGCTCACACCAGCTTTTTCTTCAGTGCTGCTGGTAGCACTGCCTTTGGAAATTTCCGAGCCCTTCAAAGCTTTGTGTAACCCCGACTGAATCAGCACGTCCTTCACTTGCACTTGCCACAAGCCAAAGTTTATTTTTTCGTCGAATTTCTCCACATCAAATCTCGCCAGATTCGATATCTTATTTTCAGACATATTCGTAAATTAGTGAACACTAACTTTGTAGAAAACCGAGCAGCAACCTTAAATAGTACTGATCAGATAAATTCTCAGGGAGGGTAGCGACCTGCCCCCTAAAGAATTACCCTTCTAAGTAAGCTCCCAGGAAAGGCTGGTGGGGTCACAATGGTCCCACTTAAAAAACCAGTCTCCTAAACAGAACCTACTTACACACGTAATTATTCCCCACTGCCCAAAAAACTCCTCTGCACACAAGCTCCACCCGTCACTGGCTCCACCGCATGAACAGACCTCTTTAGTATCTTTTCTGATGTGGAAGATTAGACAAAACTGCAACCACAGAGCATACTCAGAATACCAACTAGGCTAACCTCGCTCTTGATACCACTTGTTGGGAATTCCGACCACACCGAAACTCCGCCCAAGATCTATTGAAAATAATAAAACTGGAGAACACGAAGTTTAACGTGGAAAACCCTCTGTTAACAAAGAGGGAAAAACCACCAGGACAACAAGGCCGTAGAAAAATCCACTATGTAAAAAAAAAATCACAATGACACAATTTTTCTACACTCACTTATACCCAAATTACCCCCACATAATTTTCTATCCGTTAACCTTAACTCTCACCCTAAGGTACATTTAACCAGAGATTAATTGTTAACACAATAACTCTGTGGGATAATTTAACATAAGAAGTAGCACCTTCTTATATAGGGAAAAACTTCCCCCCCNNNNCCCATCCCATACCGATGTGGGACAAAAGAGCAAAAAATCCAACAGGTCACGAATTCGAGTAAGTAAGTTAAATAAATAACTCAGTGCAAAAGAAGAAGGAAGGAGATGTGGCTTCTTCGCCACCCACCATCCGACCATGGAGTTGCCAACGTAGACGATGGAGTAGACAATGGAGCCTTCGTCCATTTCGTGTTTGCGAATCTCGACCGGGCTTTTAAGTCCGACAGCGGCGGAGTTGGGACACACTCGGGGCTCCCCTTTTCTCCCAATGGTCGAAAGGCAGGTGCATTGTTGAGGAGTGATGTTGGCGGCCAACTCGTCCGGTCGTTGTCAACTTCTTGATCGCGAGTTTGAAGTTTGGATCCGGCTTGTTTCTTCAAATCTGAGTAGCCATAACCGTCTGGAGTTTGGAGTGCAAAAATCCGAGGTTCTTGCTTTGCATCTCTTTATTTGGTGTCTTGGGAGATCAGTGTATCTTGGTGTAGCTAGTCGTGCTTGTTGGTTGATGGGAGGACTTTAGTTTATAGTGAATTTGATTTATTTTGTTAGTTTCTTGGTTTGTTTTTGTTTTGTTTTTGTTTTCTTTTGTTTTGCTGTTTTTTTTTTTTTTTTTTTTTTTTTTTTTTTTTTTTTT